AATTTTTGTATTTGTAGTAGAGACAGAGTTTCACCATGTTGTCCAGGCTAGTCTCAAACTCCCAACCTCAAGTCCCCCTTGGCCTCCTAATTAGTGCTGGGATTACAGGCGTGAGCCACCATGCCCAGCCTAATGTCAACAATTCTGATTTTGCCTCTTGATTTAGTGTTTCTCAAAATGTTTCACGGATCTTAAAGATGCAGTTCCATGGATTGCATCCTACACTTACCAAATCAGGACCATCTCTTTATTGATGGCCTCCCTATAGACTTGCAGTATCTCACTTTAGTTCCATTGGAAGTATAGTTTTGTCTTGTTTAGTTTTTCTTTTCTTTTGAGACAGGGCCTTGCCCTGCTGCCCAGGCTGGAGTGCAGTGGAGTGACGAAGGCTCACTACAACCTCAAACTCCTAGGCCCAAGTGATCCTCCTGCCTCAGTCCCCTGAGTAGCTGGGACTACAGGTACTTACATCATGCCCAACTGATTTATGGCTCTTGCTTTTGGTGGCATGTTTAAGAATACTTTATTCTTTTTATTTTAGTTTTTTGAGATAGAGTTTCACTCTTGTTACCCAGGCTGGAGTGCAATGGTGCGATCTCGACTCACCACAACCTCTGCCTCTGGGTTCAAGCAATTCTCCTGCCTCAGCCTTCTGAATGGCTGGGATTACAGGTATGAGCCACCACGTCCAGCTAATTTTGTATTTTTAGTAGAGATGGGGTTTCTCCATGTTGGTCAGACTGGTCTCAAACTCTGACCTCAGGTGATCCACCCGCCTTGGCCTCCCAAAGTGTTGGGGTCACAAGCATGAACCACTGTGCCTGGCCTATTCTTTTTCTTTTTTTGAGATGGAGTCTCACTCTGTCGCCAGGTTGGAGTGCAGTGGTGTGATCTTGGCTTACTGCAACCTCCATCTCCTGGGGTTCAAGCGGTTCTCCTGCCTCAGTCTCCCAAATAGCTGGGACTACAGGCATCTGCCAACACACCCGGCTAATTTTTCTGTTTTTAGTAGAGATGGGGTTTCACCATGTTGACCAGGATGGTCTTGATCTGTTGACCTCATGATCCACCCACCTCGGCCTCCCAAAGTGCTGGGATTACAGGTGTGAGCCACCACACCCAGCCCTCTTTTTATTTTTATAAGATTTACTTCATTATTTTAAAATGTGTTTTGTCATTTTTTGCTCATTAGTTCTAATATCTTCTTTATTTATTTAATTTTAAATTACTACGGCTATATAACAGTTGTAAATTTTTTTTTTTTTTTTTTTTTTTTTTTTTTTTTTTTTTTTTTTAGACGGAGTTTCGCTCTTGTTAAGCCAGGCTGGAGTGCAATGGCACGATCTCGGCTCACCGCAACCTCTGCCTCCTGGGTTCAGGCAATTCTCCTGCCTCAGCCTCCTGAGTAGCTGGGATTACAGGCACACACCACCATGCCCAGCTAATTTTTTGTATTTTTAGTAGAGACGGGGTTTCACCATGTTGACCAGGCTGGTCTCGATCTCTTGACCTTGTGATCCACCCGCCTCGGCCTCCCAAAGTGCTGGGATTACAGGCTTGAGCCACCGCGCCCGGCCAACAGTTGTAAATTTTTTTTTGAGAAAGGTTTTCACTATGTTACCCAGGCTAGACTGTAGTGGCACTAACATGGCTCACTGCAGCCTCTGCCTCTTGGGATCATGATCCTCCTACCTCAGCCTCCTGAGTCGCTAGGAATATAGAAGCATGCCACCATGCCTGGCTAATTTTTAAAAAAGTTTTTGTAGAGTCAGGGTCTCATTATGTTGCCCAGGCCGGTCTTGAATGCCTGGGCTCAAGGAATATTCCAAATAAAAATAATTATTTATTATTTAAAAATAAATAATTTTAGTTATTTTGAAATATACAGGACAGGAGCGGTGGCTCATGTCTGTAATCCCAGCACTTTGGGAGGCCGAGGTGGGTGGATCACCTGAGATTGGGAGTTTGAGACCAGCCTGACCAACATGGAGAAACTCTGTCTCTACTAAAAATACAAAAAATTAGCCAGGGGTGGTTACACGCCTGTAATCTTAACTACTCAGGAGGCTGAGGCAGTAGAATCATTTGAAATTCACAGGTGGAGGTTGCGGTGAGCCAAGATCCTGCTATTGCACTCCAGCCTGGCCAAGAGCGAAACTATTTCTCAAAAAACAAAAAACAAAAAAAAAAAAAGAAAAGAAAAGAGAAATATATATTACGTTATTGTATATGAATACCTTAGTTATTGAATATTATATATAAATAATATGCAATAACTTATTTTATATTAATAATTATGTCTAGTGTTCAGTAGCACTAGGTATAATTCCTTCCATCTTCTTTCTTTATATTACTTATCTGAATATAAATCTGTGGGTCTCATTCTGTTGCCTATTTTTTTGCTGGCTGTCATGATGATTCTTTTGTGTTTTGTGATTTTCTATTTTTACTGTGAATCATATTGATTGGACTTTATTTTGTGCCTTCTGTTGGAGGTATATTCTGTCAGAGACAATTGATGTTTGCTTCTGCTTGCTTAAGATCACTTTGACTCAAGTCTGTTTAACCTAAATTATTGTCCTGAGGGTCTTCATACTTACCAGCCTTGGTGAATTCAGGCTGTAAACCTCTTGATCAGTGTGTTGTTATGAATTCTCAAGGAATAAGTTTTAGAGTTAACATTTGTTGATAATAAATGACATAGGTTATGGTAACCTGGTCTTCCCAATTTAGGACTACAGAAACAAACACACAGAGGAAAAAAAAAAAAAGGAGGAAAGCACACAAATCCTTTGTATATAGTTTGCATACCACACACCTCTGCGGGACACTAGCCTTTTTTAAAAAATCTTTTTTGAGACAGGGTGTTACTCTGTCACCCAGGCTGGGGTACAGTGGCATGAACTTGGCTCACTGCAATCTGGACATTCTGGGCTCAAGAGATTGATGATGCCAAAGTCTCAGGAGTGGCTGGGGCCACAGGCACCACACCCAGCTAATTAACAAATTTTTTTGGCTGGCCTGGTGACTCACACCTCTAATCCCAGCACTTTGGGAGGCTGATGTGGGTGGATCACTTGAGCCCAGGAGTTAGAGAGCAGCCTGGGTAATACAGGGGGACCTTGTCTCTACAAAAAACAAAATAATTAGCCTGGGTGGTAGTGGTGGCAGGTGCCTGTAGTCCCAGCTACTTGGAAGGCTGAGGCAGGGGGATTGCTTGAGCCTGGGAGGTCGAGGCTACAGTGAGCTGAGGTTGTGCTGCTGCACTCTAGCCTGGGTGACAGAGTGAGGTCCTGTTTCTCTCTCTTTTTTTGGTAGAGAGAGCATCTCACTGTGTTGCCCAGGGTGGTCTCTAACTCCTGGTCTCAAGCCATTGTTCTGCCTTGGCCTCTAAGTGCTGAGAATACAGGTGTGAACTACAGCACCTTGCTTAAACCAGCCTCTTTCCTCGGGAATTGACACTGGCTTATTCTGCACAATGACCTGATAGCTACCTGACGCAGGAAAATCCAGGTGTAGTTCCATTACGAGAAATCCACACCCGTTAAGAAGTCAGCTCTAGGTGGTAGGTGAAGTGTCCAGGAGAGGGCGTGGTATGCAAATTGTGTCAGAGGATTTATCTATTCTGGAATCCATACTGCTTCCCAAACAGAAAAACTCATTCCCAGTGTGGTACAGTTTTTTTAGAACGATTGGGAGCTTAGATGGCCAGAATACTCTAATTTTTATGCTATTTGGTCATTTTCAAGCCTTTTCTCGAGTCTTCAATTTTTTAAGTTTAATAAAGTTTAATAAACTTCTGCGCAATAAATAGTAGGCTATATCTAACGTACCATGAATTTTTTAAATGAACCTAATTCCTACTCGACAGCCGAGCTTTTCTCTTCTTCTTCTTCCTTTTTTTTTTTTTTTTTTTTTTTTTTAAGACAGGGTCTGACTCTGTCGCCCAGGCTGGAGTGCAGTGGCGGGATTTCGGCTCACTACAACCTCCGTCTTCTGGGTTCAAGTGATTCTCGTGCCTCAGCTTCCCGAGCAGCTGGGATTACAGGTGCCCGCCACGATACCCAGCTATCTTTTGTATTTTTAATAGAGACGGGGTCCCACCATGTTGGTCAGACTGGTCTTGAACTCCTGACCTCAGGTGATCCACCTACTTAGGTCTCCGAAAGTGCTGGCATTACAGGCGTGAGCCACCGCACCCTGCCTGCAACAAAGCTTTTCATATGAATTGTGTGGCTTAATTTTTTTTTCTTTGAACGTTAAATTACAAATGTCGTATCTTTGGGTTCGGCTTTTTGTATTCTTAATTCTTCAGCGGGCCGGGGGCAGGGGACAGAGACAGAGGCGGCTCCTACAGGGAACTCATTCTTTGACTCCGCCTTAGATCTGGCTACGGGGGTAGGAAACGACCCTGCCTCGCTTTGTTTAAAGACGCAGGGTTCTAGCGTGGTGTTCCTCCCGCCCACCCCGCAACCCCCGGTTTTCTTCTTAAGCTCACCACGTTCCAGACAGTGCACAGATCAATTTTTATCACAGCTGTCATTCTCATTTTTACAGCCATGAAAAGTGTGATTCTAGTTAAGTGTCAGCCTCGGGTAGCTCGGGGATTCCCAGTCAACTCCTCGCACTTTCGTCGCTGCTTCCCTTCCACCCCGCGCCTTCGCTGGCCGTCCCCAGCTCCATCCAGGCCACGGGGGTGACGAGGGTGTCTGGGGCATTCGGGCCTGGCTGGTCGTAGGGCTTTAGGTCCAAGTCCACGCCGGCACTCGTCCTGATCAGTCTGGCTCTTCTGGTCCCCCTAGCTTTGCGGTCGCGGAGACAGGGAAACCATCGAGCTGACAGCCCAGAGCGTCGCTCGCTGGCTGCCAAGCGCTGACGCCGCGCCGGAGGCGGGGCCGCCGGAGGCCGCGGGGAGAGGAGCTAGCAGCGGGGAAGGGGAGGGCTGGCTGGCCTCGCAGCGCCCCGCCGCGGCTGCGGCCGGAAGCGGTCTCGTTGGCCCTGCGGCGCTGGAGCCCTGACGCACGGAGCTCGAGAGCGAGAACGGGAGAGAAAGGGGTAGAAATGGCGGCTCCGCTCGGCTCCCGCTGAGGAGGGCGAAGCCGGCGGAGTGTCTGTGCTGCCGGCCTGCAGCACCGCCCCCGCTTCCCGCTCGCCGCCTGCTCGCGCCGACTTCCCTCCCTCTGCCCGGCTCTCTGTTGTGTTCGTCTGCGCTCCGCACGCTCCGGGCCGGCTCGTCTCTCCCTGCCCGGCTCGGCTCCGCTGGCCCTGACTGACCGGCCGGCGGGCCGGCCTCGCTTGGCTCTCCCGGGCGCGGCGTGGACTCCGTCCTCCGGGCTGGACCATGGTGAACACCCGGAAGAGCTCTCTCCGCCTTCTCGGGTCCAAGTCTCCTGGTCCCGGGCCTGGGCCTGGGGCCGGAGCAGAGCCTGGGGCGACCGGAGGCAGCAGCCATTTCATCTCCTCTCGGACCCGGTCCTCCAAGACCCGCGCCGCCAGCTGCCCCGCCGCCAAGGCCGGGGGAAGCGGTGCCGCCGGCCTCGCTCTGGATGAGGCCAGGGTAAGCGCGGCGTCCCGAGTCCGGAGGCTCGGAAGTGTCAGCCCGGCCGCCGGGGCTTTGTCTGGACGGGTTGGGGGCAGGAAGCCTCAGCGGAGACCGCTCGGGCGGCTGGAGAGAGGGTCTGCGGGCGCGGTGGAGGGTGGCACCCGGGAGAAGGGCCGCGGCGCTGGCCCGTTTGCTTTTCCAGCCGGCCCGGCTCTTTTGTGTAAAGAACAGCTCTTGAGTCCAGGGGAGAGGGCTTTGGGGGTCCCTTTCGGGGGCATTCGAACGATTTGCTGTCCTTGTCCTTGTCCTGCCCCAGAGGGGAATTCTAGCGGGGAAGCAAGAGCGAAGGACCCGAGCCCCTGGGTGGGAGGGTTGGAGAAGTGAAAGTTTTCTGCGGTGTCAAACCCTTCTTGAAAGTGTGTCAGTTCCTGCCGCTGTCTAACTCCAGCTTACTCTCAGTTTGGGGGTGGTTCAAGTTGGTGAGGAAGTGAGCAGAGAGCTCCAGTTGGCAGCCGGGCAGGGATGCTGAAAAAAGTTTGTAGCTGCTCTGACATCCACTTTAAAAACAAAATCAACACTATCGCCTCTCCAGGCAGGAGAGATCAAACAGAATGTTGTAGCTGGGGAACCAGCCAGCTAGCTCACCAAGGTGCTGGTAGGAACCAGAGCTTTCAGGTCACAGAAGGAGCGCGTCGAAAGAAACAAGTGGAATGTGTCAGATAGTCAGCACTATCGTGCCAAAATTGTGTGGTTTCTTAGATGTCTACATTTTTGTCATGGGACTATATTACAAAAGGTGAATGAACACCATCGTTGTCATGCAGTTACAAAAATGACGTTTGAAGAACCTGGTGATTGAATTAGAAAGAGCCATAGATCTTGAAATTTCACTAAGCACAGATATTTATTGCTGTAAAGGAATTGACACTTTTATTTTACGATGAGATTGTTTCCGAAGTCAGAGCAGATTATACTGCTTCTGTCTAAAGGAGGTTGACTTGCTAGGTAATTTGGCTGGAAAATGCTGTTCATTTAAAATGTTCCTTTAATTCCACACCGTTTTGTGTTTCTTACTGGGGTGGGGGCGCGGGGAAGGAAGCAATTATTTTATGTTCAATAGGGGTCTACGAGATCGCGGTTTGTCTGTGCTTTTTCTCTTTGTGTTTTACACTGTTTTGACACTATCAGAATGAATCTAGGCAGAGACAACAGGAATGTTTTACCATACCACTCTGAAATTTTTTATTATATCTTTGAAAATAGTTTTGGCTTTTATTTGATAAAAATTTGGACATTATTTTTAGAACTGTCCTATTTAGTGGACTATTTTGGGGGTTTACAGATCTCTCAGGTTGAAATAAGAAGTCTAAATCTGAAAGTTGTGTAAACTATTGAGAATAAGTACTTTGAAGACGAGGCTTTCTGTGGAAACTTTCCAAACATGTTCAAGCTTCTTGATCTATTGATGCTATCACGTATTTTAAAATAAAACTAAATTTAAGAAAAGATCTGTTCTCTACATTTAAGGACAAAGAAAATATTTAGAGTGTAAGCATTTAATTGTATCGTGCTATGAATGCCTGGTCTATTAGAGCAGTGTCCCACTCATCTGAAGCAATTAGCTCATTTATCACTGATCAGTTTGTGGTCCCATTTTTGAATTCATGGATATCATGCTGTCCTTACCCCCTGAGGAATAAGGTGAGGTAATTTGTCAAGCAGCTGTTATAGAGATGTTAAAAGGCTAGGAATCAATAATCTAATGAGGAAATGAACATTTGGTAGCTTTTAAATTACTAGAAGAATGAAAGATATGAGAGCTCTTTGTAGAAGGGTACTAATGAAACTTTGTTTCAAAGATCCTTTTAAAATGTTTTAAAGCACCATAAATAACAGTCTACTGAAGATTTGCTTTGAAATATTTGTTTTTCAGTCTTAAGAAGATTTATGTTATGGCTCTAGTAGATTATGAAGTGATCTAATTGCTTTCTCTGAAAGATTTTTTAGAGGCTTACCGCTCTTACATAGAGATTGGACCTTTAAAAGATGCTAAATTATAATTCTGAATTTATTAAGTTTATGGACTACATATTTATTAAGCAGGCTGTATATTTCTTTGTTGTATATTTCTGGTTAGCTCTTCTCCAGTTTTGTAGGAATTTAGCACTCCTGCTTTACCCTTTCTGGAGTACTTAAAGGCACTCTCTCTGTCTATGGGGTCTGTAACAGACATTTACCAGTGTCTGTAAAGTCTTGATGCAAAATGGGGTTGCCCATGTTGTTGCTTTAGCAGATCCTTATTTTTGTAGGAAGAAATGTATTCCTGTTTGTAACATCTGTAATTGAGGAGTTTCTCCTTTTTCTGCTTTTGTGCCATGTTCTTAACTATACCTGATGCCTATTTTTCCCTCTTTTCCCTGTTTTTAGATTATTTCATTCATTGTGTCCAGAGACATTTTATTTGCTTTAAAAAGTCATAGCAGTTTGAGTTTTTCTTACAGTTTTGTCGTTTTCCCAAGTAGTGTCTGCATAGGATGGGTGGTAAATATACATTCTGCAGATTATTAGAATTATTTTTTCTCTTTTTTTAGTATTAAAAGCCTTTTATTTTTGACATGTAAAAGGTTGCACTTAGTGTATATAACTCTGTGAGTTTCTCCAAACTCACAGAGTTATATACACTATTTGTGAAACCATCAACACCATAGAGATATCCATCATTCCTAAAGTTTTCCTGTCCCTTTTATTATGAATGTCTTATTAGTATTATTTTTGTGGCAAGAACACTTGATATAAAATCTGCCCTCTTAGGAAATTTTAAGTATGCAATACTGTATTCTTAGATTGTAGGGACTATGTTATGTAGATCTCCAGAACTTACTTATCTGGCATAAGTCATACTTTATTGCTTCCCCCCAAGACCCTGGCAATCATCCTTCTACTCTCTGCTTCTGTGAATTTGCTAGTTTAGATTCCACATGTAAGTTGAGATCATACGGTATTTATCTTTCTGGGACTGGCTTATATTATTTAGTGTAATATCCTCTCGGTGCATCTGTTTTGTTGTAAGTGATGAGATTCCCTTCTTCAGCTTAATAGTATTCCACTGGGCATGCACACATGTACACCATGTTTCCTACCATTCATCTCTTGTTGGACATTTAGATTGTTTCTATAGCTTAGCTATTATGAATAATGCTACTGTGAACATGGGAGTGTAGATGTCCCCTTGAAAGCCTGATTTCAGTTCCTTTGGATAAATACCCAGAAGTGGGATTGCTGGATCATATGGTAGAGTTCTATTTTTATTTGTTTGAGGTACCTTCATACTATTTTCCATAGTGGCTGCACCGTTTTGCATTTCTACTGACATGTACGAGGATTCCCTTTTTTCCATCTCTCCCCAATATTTGTTGCCTCTTGTCTTTTTGATAAGAGCCATCTTGACAGGTATGAGGTGACACTTCATTGTGGTTTTGATTTGCATTTCCCTGATGATTAGTAATGTTGAGCACCTTTTCATATACCTGAGTGGTGTCTAATTAGTTAGGACCTTTTTTTCTCTAATGGTCAGGCTGGAGTGCAGTGGCACAGTCGTGGTTCACTGAAGCCTTAAAATCCTGCTTTGCTTATTAAAAAAAATTTTTTTTTCCTCTAGAGTTGTAGGAGTACCCTATGTATTTTGGAAATTAACTGCTTATCAGATACACAGTTTGCAGATTTTTCTCCTATTTTGTAGGTTGCCGTTGTGCCTACACTTTTAAATTTTCCTATTTTTTTTCCTCCCTTATCATTACCCACAATGCCCACACTTTTAAAATGTCAGGTTGTCTTTTAGTGCTATGCAGTTAGATGTAATTACTCCCCTACACTGTGGCTTTTTTGTTTCTTTCTCCAAGCTTGCATAAAGCTTGACCTCTTTTAGGTCAGTTAATCTGGCCTTCAGTCATTAAGTGTTTATTTGCTCCACCTAAGTGTCACTCCCAGTAAACAATCTAATACTGTATTCACAAAACTGGAGAGCAATCTTTGAAAAATATTTCAACTATTTTTTTCTACTTCTCCTTGTTAGATCTGTTTGCTGGTATTTCTGGCTTTGTCACAGCTTTTTGGGCTTTTTGAGATGGTCATTGACTCTGAGTCCCCATCTTATGAGATCAAAATAAATATTTTGAGTAACTTTAGAAGTAAAATGCTTACTTTATTTTTAATTTTTAAAATCCCTAGATCATTCTTTAGTATTCTCTTTTATCACCCTGTACTTTTCCTTTTCCAACACTCATTCATTTGCCAACGTAACAAAGCAGAGTGGTTGAAGTTGAGGGTTAAAGAGGTAAAAGAAGTCTGAGAGGGAAAGCTCATAATGTATATAACTCTCAGATGAGCAGGGAAAAATGTAAGTTCCTCAGAACAGAGCACTTTTTTCCTTATACTGTAGCAGATTCACATGGAGTACAGTATAGGTAATATTATAACATAACAATGTCCCCTGTCACAATTTTGAACCAAAGCAGTGGTGGAATTCATAGGATTGCTCTGGTAGCCAAGTGAAAATGCAGCTTAAATTCAGTTACTGGCTATTTCTGTAGTCCAGATATATACACTTTATGTTTAGGTCATGGATGAAACTTACAAACCCTATAGAAGTGAATACATATTAATTCCTTAAATCATTTTCCCTGGCAAGTAGTCTTTTAAACCATCCTTTGGTAGGTGTTTTACTGCATGTCTCCTAAATACCTAATTATAGATAAACTCATAACTTCTGGAAACCAGCTGGACAAGTGGTAGAATTACTACTTGTTATGAGAGCTAAGAAGCCCAATCAGTGTTTGCACCTGAATGTAGAGTGATCCTGTCAATTCAAGGATGTAAGTGCCATATTACTTTGAATGATATGTTTGGCATTTCTTTTAGGACATACACAATGAAGTTTCATTTGTTTGCATTATCTGTTTCATTTGTGTAAATAATCAGCTTGAGTGGATTTCTTTATACTTAGGTTTTTGGTCTTG